TGGAAATCTTGATGTTTTAGCTTTTCCTGCTAATTTGAAGGCTGTGAGAGATTCTTTCCCAAAATATATCATGGACTCAAGGTGTTTTATTTTATGCTGCTGCTTTAACACTGTTTCATAGGGGTTGGTGCACTAATTATCTATATAAAAACACATCTGGAATAATATATTTTAGTAGCAATTTTGCAATTGCTACCCTTCAAAGCATGGCAACATTTCCAGTATAAACCTGACTTTTACAGATGTTTTAATTCCAGGGGGAAAAAGCTTTTTTTCTAAAAAGCATTTAGAATAAGTATAAAATTTCAGTCTGGAAAAAATATTCTGTGAAGATTGGTTATAAACTTATCTGAAAGGAAAATTCAGGCATTTTCCAAGGTGCTCTTAATGATACTTAAAAAGGTTTACTGTACGCAAGACTCACCCATTTACTCGTATTAAAAATTACTTTCCGGGAAGTGCCACAGCAATTTTTCAACACCTAAGCAATTTTTTAAACAAGTGGATATAATGTATATGTGTACCAACCCATCCTGTATGAACTGCCTGAAATTTTATCTGTTGAGCTGCATTTTATTCTGAATGAAATTACTGTCTTTTATCTTGGCTTTACTCAGCTCCCACACAATAAGTCCATACAATCATGTTTAAGAGCCAGACCCTGATTTCAGCCCTCAAATATAGCTCTCCTTGATGAGAGCTGGCTGCATGGATTGAGATCAGAATGTAGCTCTTCTTTTATATGCGATGAGGAATTCATAATCACTATAACTTTTTTCTTCCAGAAGTTTGTCCCCAAATACATTTAAGTAAGGTCCCTAGGAGAACTTTCTAATATGAATTAAGAAAATTAATTTCACTGATTTATGTTACTTAAAAAAATAAGCAATCAGTTGCCCAGACGTATATGCTGATGTCGGCTTGTAGATTGTACTTCCAGTTTCCTCAAGTAGTATGAAGGAATCTCACTAGTTCATTATAATTGTGGACCATCTGGATCACTTTGGAAGGTTAGAAGATAATGTTAGTACTAGAGTTAATAGCACATGGTGGGTGTTGAGACTCTAAAAGTAGCAAGGATCTTGAAACAGTCCTAAATGTAAACTGTCGTAGGCTTGATAAAAAGTCGGTCTGGGGTCTGCGAAGGAGTGGTGTGCACCTGAATTCCTGTACTACTGATTGTACTGCTGCCCATCTTAGTGCCTATTAATAATAGTTAACCTGTCAGATTGTGGCAAACTGGAGCTGTGACTATTCCAATATTCGAGTGTTCCTATCACTGTTGCATTGCTGTGACTGTATACTCTCTTAAAACCTTCCCTTCTAAAATATTTATATCTGTTAAGTCTAAATAATTTCCTTTTTGCTTTTTAGTCTGGTAGGTAAGATTTGCGTGTGTGTCTATATATACATATATGTGTGTGTGTATATGTGTGTTATATATATACATACACACTACTATGTCAGACTTAAATATCTTTAACTCATTGTATATGAATATTAGTAGTTTAATTTTGCATTAATTTAAGTAAAGAATTAGTTAAGCAGCCAAATTTTCTACATGTACACTTCAAAGTTTTTACCATCTCAAAGCTACGGATTGGATAAATGCATATATGCTGGCAATTGAATATACTTAAGAATCATTAAGCCTTCTGCCAGTCCTTTTGTCTCACTTTTTTCAAAATTAATGCTCACTGGAAAATGAAATGATGCTATGATTTTTTGATACTTAAAATTTCCAATCATTCATTAGCCATAATCAAATGAGATCCAGTCCAAAACACTGGTGTTAGGATGCTTACTGCCATGTATCTTATAAAAATAAGCTACTATTCTTCTCTGTGCAATATGCATTTTATTTATTGTCATTTGTAACATAAATGGAGCTGCAAGTGTACATGGTATTCTTCAAAATAATAGGATCTCTGCCTTGAAGACATAAAATTCTTAAGGCAACTGGATGTTAGAAGTCAAAAAGTGAGCATTAAAGTTAGTAACCAAAATTACTAGTTCACTGTATAACTCTAAAACACTGGTGATGTTTGCACATAATAATCCAAGTATAATGTGGTACAGACTCAAAACTGTAATAATATAAGCTAATAGTATGAAATTTGGAAACGGGTTCCTCATAATGGTTGGCATTGTGCTCCTACCAATTGAAAGCAGCACTAATCTGTTGCTTATATGCAAAAGATGCAATGTATTATAAAAGTATTAAACTTCTGCCACATTTTATAATTTTCCTTGTTAAAGCCCCAAACTGCCATGTCCCTTAAACTTGAGTCAAACACAAGCTTATTTGCACTAAAGAGCATGGCCAAAAAGTAAATGACAGGGTGGAAAAGCAGTTGGAACCTCTTGAAATAATTGGTTCTAATGGGAGAATTTCACATTTGTCTATTTGAAAGCTATATGGTCCAGGCAGACAATCTGTCAGTTCACTAATTTAATAATGCACTTTACCTTTTGTATATAAAAGATGTACATTTATGCCACTTGACTGGTGGGGTGTGTTTCGATAACTATGTAGTTAGAATCTGTAGGGTGATCTCTTGCATGCGTATGTTTGTGTTGGAACTGCTGTAGTAACAAGTTTCCATTAAGTCGGTGTAATGGCCAAGGGTAGACGATGCTTCCGAAACAAACCCCAATACATTTAACAAAGAATTTTGAAGTAGAGTTCATATTTGTATTCTTAAGGGCTAGAATCAATAAAAAAACTATTTCTAGCCCAAATTAGTATTACAGTTGAGATTATATCTAATTGAGATTCCCCATAATACCCTGAAAATGAATTTTGGGAATTTGTATAGACCAAAAGAATTTTAATGATACTGTTTCATTATTGATGTGTGTTTAAATTACTAATGAAAAGACAGTACATGATACTGTTCTAGAATTAAAAGTATGGTTGGCTGATGTGGCATCATTAAGAAAACATCTAGACTAAAGAAATTAAATTCAAATTAAAGAAATGCCAAGAGCCTAAGAACAATTGCTAAAATAAATATGATATTATTTCAAAATCTGCAGAAGATCCAGCTTTCACCAACCAAAAAGGGTATTAGGGGATTTAGTGTATACTTCCATCCTAAAACTTCCTAAGATGTACATTTGAGAACTAGATAATTGTTGCTTAATAATAGGTTGTATGTACTTTACTAAGAAACACTGTGTACTAACAATTCATCGAGAGTATACTATATTTACTGCATTCATTTTATATCTGTGGATAAGAATACATTATATATAGTGATCCTATCTTAATATAATCATGTATTTATATTGTAATTTTGCAAATATTTTCAGTAAAATAAACATTTATCTGAGCTGCACAATTCGAAGAGGATGAAATTGGAATGCACCCTCAGACACTCAGTTTTAATAAGCAGCTACCATTGAGAGTTGATGTATGTACTATCATTTTTTTAGATTTTTGTTTTATGGTTTATTTTAATATTTAAGTAAATAGGACTTAATTGGAAATTTGCAGTAGTGTTCTGAAGATAATTTTTTCATTAGTGTGAGATTGTTTTTTCCTGCTTATTTCCAAACGTCTTTCATTGGAACTATTTATAAAACCTTATTCCAAGCTTTATGTAAGAGCTCTGCTTAGTCACCACGTAGTTTAAAGTCTATCTTTTACCAAAACACCAAACATCTCTGGCAGGATAAAGTCTAAAGTAAACCACAAAGAAAAGTTAAAATTAGTTCTGTACCAACAGAATAATACAAGTGTAATATTTATCACTGCCAAATAAGATTCTTAAAATCTTTCTGGAGTTTCCTTCAAGAGTTCTTGAATTTCATACAGAAATGGTGGCTCATGGCTAGCCAGTCAGAGGAAGAGAGTGAGGATGTTAGCATGCTGTCAAGACAATCTGTAGTCCACAATGCTGTAACAATGAGGCACAGGGAAAGTGTG